CTATCTTTTCCAAGATTGATAAGAAAACAAGCTTTTTGAACAATTGTATAAGTTCTTTAAGAAATTCTCAAACAAATAATTATAATAAATAATTGTTGAGGCAATTTTCATACTATTATTGTTTGGGCAAATTTTGATTAAATTTTAATAATAATAACAATTTTGATTAAATTTTAATAATAATAACAATTTTGATTAAATTTTAATAATAATAACAATTTTGATTAAATTTTAATAATAATAACACCTACAAAAAAAAAAAAAACAAAGACAAATGAAGTTAAAAAAAGGAGAGAATAGGCAACACTGCTAACTTTGGAAACTTTTAGAAAATCGCAAATCGATATAAAAAGCCGTTGGAGCATATAAAATATTTATAAAAATATATTTTGAATAAAATATTTGCTCCAAAAGTATATAAAAAGCATATAGAAAACATAAGAATATATCAAAGCAAAAATTAAAAAAAATTAACTAAAAATTTTGTTCAGTGTAAAAATGCCAATAAATTACACTGGAAAAACAAATAATTGGATCGAAATAACAGACCAGTTCAATTAGCTTTTACGGGAAAAATACAAATTTTCAATGAAAAAATATGTAAATGAGAGAAAATATTTATCAAAGAAAATTGGCAACGCTGAAAAATACGAGCATAATTGACGCTTTTTAACCGCTGACACGATTTTTGGACGAGTTCCTCTTCCACTTTGTGGTATGCGTCTGAACGACAGATGGATTTTTATGTGAAGCTTTTATTTCATATCAGAACCCTATTTCGTGAGCCTATCGAGGAGTTATTGCAATGAGGAAAATTATTTTTCTATATTCTTAGATAATGGTAGAACCAGAACACGAACCCTGGCAGTACGCAATGCGCACAACTCGGCTATTGCGGCCACTAATAAATTTATAGGGAATATAAATAAATAAGTGTAGTCTACACAGGGTTTTCCAATAGGAGGTGTTTTGACAAAAATGATGTTTACTTCAATGTAAAGAGGCAGATATGCCATTAACAATGGAAAACAATAGTGAAATGAACGCCATGTTTAGAGGACCCTATCCTTTTTTTGCAATCCTCCACCAAATCGCAAAGTGACTGCTTTATATCCTTCTACTTTTGAGGTTTTAAAGCAATCTTACCCTGTAGGCGTAGATATAATCTTTCACGTGACCCTAAACGAAGATGTCGTAAGGTGTTAAATCACAAGATCTCGATGATCAATTGCAATCACTTCTTCGAGAGTCAATACTGTTCCGAAACTTTTCCCTTAAAAGATCGATGAATTCGTTGCTTGCGTGGCATGTAGCGCCGTCTTCCAAACTTTGTCCAGATCGATACCTTCTAATTTGGGCCACAAAAAATCATTAATCATCTCTCGAGCGCGCAATCCATTCATTTCCTAAAAAGTTAAGTCGAATGAGCTCGTCGGACCATAAACCGCACTAAAGAGTAACACGTTGAGGATGGAGAAGCTTTTCAAGTTCAAATCTGGAGTTTTCGAAGCGCTGAAGGCGACAGTTTTGCTGATGACGTAGAAATCGAGTTGGAAAAGGGCCTCTTCAGTCAAGATGATTTTTCAACGGAATCTCGAATAATTTGCATGCATTTCAAGGACCCAATCAGTAAAGATACGAAAATTGTTGTTGATCGGCCGGCTTGAGTTCTTGTGTTAGCAGAACTTTATAAGCCTTAAGACCCATGTCTTTATAAGGTATGACCCAATTCCAAAGAAGGAGGAGGAATTGACAAATCTGGGGTTTCTTTATAACTTTGTATTACAGACGCTATTTGAAGGAAAGGAGAATCCACATAATAATTTTATACGAATAAACTGCAGCTCAGAATTCGATATAGGGAAAATTTGCAACGTTGAAAATATTAAATATATGCAAAAAGAAACCTTTTACTTTCTCTCTTTCATTGAATATTCGAGCTTTCCCAGGCATCTCAATTAATATTGATTACAAGCAATTAAGTATTTCCTTGAAACTAAAGTAAGAAAGTTGAGTTTTTTTTCACAAGTGCCTCTCAACTTTCAGCACCGCCCGCAAGAAGGCGGAAAAAAACGGCGGACTCCCAAGAAGTTATTTCATGCTCTAACAACATAATGCACTATAATTACCAGTCGAGCTGACTCAGGGAAATCTGTGAAAACAGGATGCGCTGCTTGCCACCCCGCATGCTTAAAAAAAAACTAGCGCACAAGTTTTTGGAGTTTTTTCCTTACTTATCACTGCAACATACTTAAATGGGAGTATTCAAAAAGAGGAAGTCGAAGATAAAAAGTGAAGAAAAAATGCGAAAAAACTCGCATGCCCAACGACCTCTTATATGCTTACACTCCATAGCAAAGACAGATAGTGAGTTTGAGTTAAAAAAGTGAACACCATTATAATTCGATTTCGCACTCAAATCCCACACACCTACAAACTACATACATAAACCATGTTATCTAACGCGCCAACAGCGGCAATAGCTTCACCAAGTCAAGCACAAAGCGGAAGTTGCTTTGGTTGTTTGTTGTGTTCGTTGTGTTTGTTGTGTTAAAAGAATTGGTTTTGTTGCTTTTTGTGGTTATTATTATTGGTGATGCTGCACATCTGTGTGAGCATGTGTGAGTGCGTGTGTGTGTGTGTGATGGTAATAATGTTATTTGCCAACCAGAGCATCATGAAAGGGTTCACTTCGTTCTACTTTGGCTGGAAGTGGAGTTGGGCGTCTGGTTGTTGGTGGTTGATGTCTGATTTGTTATGTAACTTTCAGATAACTCATTGTGGGTGTCATCTCACCTCATGCTTTATGACAATATGGTGCAGTGATGACAAATATATGGTCACATATGCGAAGCAAACAACAAAAATCATTATGCGCTGATGTTGCTAAGCGCACCGGGTTCTGCGCGTCAAAACCTGGTAATAAAAATAAATGTTCAGAGCCCAAGTACTCAATGAATGCTACTGAAAAGTTTAAAAAAAGACACAATTTTTATCAAATACACGAATGCAATGAATTTATTGAAATAGAGGCATATCGAACCGAGACCGACCGACGAAATATAAATAAAATAAATAAAAAATTAATAACATTTAAATCAAATATTTAAAAATTAAAAAATAGTTATAAATTAAAAAGAAAAGAAATTAAAAAAAAATATAAAAAAATGAAAATATGTAAAAATAAAAAATAGATTTGAAATTCAGAACAAACCAATAAAAGTATAAAAGTAAATATATGAATTAAAAAAATTAAAATAAATAAATTGCAAATGGACTGCGAAAAGTAAATAAAAGGATACAAACAAATTTAAAAATTTATTCCAAATTAAAAAAATTATTAAAAAATGTAATGGTAAGAATTAGAAAAAATTTTAAAACTGTGGATAATAAATCGAAAAGAAAAAAATTAAAACAAAATATAAAAAATGAAAATAATTAAAAATAAAAAATAAATTTAAAACTCAGAACAAACCAATAAAAGTATAAAAGTGAATATAAATTAAAGCAGTAAAAATAAATAAATTACAAATGGACTGCGAAAAGTAAATAAAAATGATACAAATAAATTGAAAAATTTATTCCAAATTAAAAAAAATATTTAAAGAAATGAAAAAAAATTAGAAAAAATTATTAAACTGTGGAAAAATACTAAGCAATTAAAAAAAAAAATAGATAAAAAATCGAGGTATAAAAAAGAGAAATAAAAAAATACACAGAAATACTAAAAAACTATAAAATTGGATGCAAACAAAAATAGAACGAAATGCAGAAAAAAATAAATTAAATTAATGTGATAAGGAAAAAAATAAAAATATAATAAATATTATAATATTAAGAATAACGACAAGAGGAATTAAGATATAAAAAAGGGGAAACAGAGCAAAAAAGTTTAAAATAACATATATATAAGGGGAAAAGTGTAATTAAAATACAAAATGGTGAAAATAAAACGAAAACTTGTAAAAATTAAAAATAAAATATATAAATACTAAAAAAATGCATTCCAGATTAAAAAAAAAAATATATATATATAAAATAGAAGTAATAAATTAAAAAAAAGAATTAATATTAAAAAACGTGAACTATATCAAATCAGAAAAAAAAACAATCAAGATAAACAAAAACAAAATTTAACTGAAAATATAAAAAAAAAATCTTAAGAAAGTAAGAAAACTACTTAAAAAATTAAATAAAAATTTATAAAAACGAAACTTATTTATTTAATTTTATGTTTATTTATCAAACCAGTTTTAACTCTTTAAGTTCGTCTCTCAAATCTAAATAAGATTAGTGTTGTTGAAATTTTCAAGGTGAAAATAAATCACAAATGAAAGAAAAATTTAAATATAAATGGATAAAAGATTTAAAAAAAGAAAAATAACGCAAAAATATAAGAATAATAACAAAAACTAAGAATAAGAAATAAATAAAAATAAAAGCAGAAAATAAAATAAAAATATAAATAAAAAAACAAATCAAAAAAATATATAAAATAAAAATAAAAAAAATAAAATTAAGTTGCTTAGGAAGTTTTTAATTTTTGTTTTATAGATAGTAATTTTGAAAAAATTAATTGTTTCAGCTAACTTCAAAGAAGTTAGAACATTGCGAAAAATTTGAAAATCGTTGTGAATCTTCGAATTTCGAAATGATTTGGTTCGTCAATAAAAACTTGAATGCTTTTCTTATTCACCCATTCAGTTGTAAACTGTGAATTTTCTACTGATATTGTTGTTATTAATATTTTGAGCTCACGAAATTAATACCATTTTGCTTAAATATTTATTGCTTGAGTAACCGTTTCGTCTCGTGCTTCTTCGGCATATACATTTTTAAAGCCCCACTTACAACTCGGGATAATTTTGAGAATTTCAAAACTCATCTATAAATTCTCAAGAGTTGCTCTACTGCATATATATAGCTATAGATATTTCAATATCAATTAATTTTAATTTCCCTCTTCTCTCTCTCTCTCTCTCGCTCTCTCTCACTTCCAGGTCGACGGTCAAAAGTATATGGGTCAAGGGCGTAGTAAGAAAATCGCCCGCATCGAGGCAGCCGCAACAGCGTTACGCAGTTTTATACAGTTCAAAGATGGCGCTGTGCTAACACCACTGAAGCCGACGTGTAATCTAGATTTCACAAGCGATGAACATTTGGAAAACGGTATTGTGAATTATGAGAACTTAAGCACGGGTGAATTAGTACCGCTTTTAGATGCACTGTTCAGGCATGCGAAATTTATTAAAAAACTGACACCCTTCATGCGGGTAACCGATTGTGCATTGAGCATGACAAGCAAGTATTTGTTGTTGTTTTTATTTTATTTTATTTTAATTTAATTTATTATTATTTATTTATTTATTTTTCTGTTTGTTTTAATAATAATAATTTAATTTATTTTGATTTATTTATTCAATTATTTTCTAAAAATATTGGTAGGTATTTATAATTTATGTCTGTAAGGTAGTTCACCAGATGGTTGTTAATTCTATTTTCATACATATATAGTATATACGGGTGTTTAGGTTTAATAATTGCTTCCCATACATTTAAAATTTCAATTTTACTTACTTCAAATTGGGGAATTTAATGTAGTGTCTTGATCTGTTTTGACTTTTTTTTAATCATTTATATGAGCTGTCGCTGAACTCTTGAGAAGAAAATTTTAGATAAAAGTATGTAAATAAGTTATTAAAAATTGCTCATACTACTTACCCTCTCGTTTCTTTCTACTACTCTGCACTTTTCGAGCAGTCTACAGGTTGGTTGAAAAGTTTTTGCGCTCGAAAGGAAAAATTACAGTTCTTTGGGCGAAATATGATTTTTATATTCTATTTAATCACCCTTAACTTCTAAACACTTATTGGAATGGTTCACCAATAATTTTATGTCATCCCTATAATTACATTCCGAAAGCTCAGACGTACATGCTGAAATAGCTTTTTCATTCGACGAAAGCCGTTTTCCACGAAGGCATTGCTTCTGGTTTCTGAAGAGGTAGTAGTCGCTGGGAGCAACATCTGTTGAATACGACGGATGCTTCATCAATTCGTACTTTTATTCATGGAATTCCGTCATTGTTAAAACAATTTTTCGAGCTAATTTATTGTCTGGATGAAAAATGATTTTTTCTGCTGCAAACCAGGTCTTTTCTCACTAATTTTTTCATCCAGCTGATCCAAATGGCAGCAACCTTCTTTGCTGTTCATTGTGAGTTCACCTGCTTTGAAGGTGAACAACCATCTCAGTCCCCAGTAAATGTTCTTATTTCAATTTAAGATTATGGTGGTATATTCAAGTCTCATCCGTAGTTATAAAACGGTGCAAGAAACCGGGTTTATTCTTCCTATGGCATTAGCAAAGCTTAGTAAAAGTTGGATTTTCACTGACAATATTATAAACTTGCTCAATGTTTTCTGGTGTGGTTGCGGTTTTGGTCGTCCTTCGCGTGGATCATCTTCAAGCCTAGTACGACCACGTTTAAGTTCACCAGATCAAAATTCAACAGCGGGTTTTGAAGGTGAGGGCGTCTTATATACAAGCTTCTAACAATTGTTCATAAATTTCCTCTGCTTTAAAACCTTTTAAAGCCAAGAAACTAATCCCTTCGCGATAATCAATTTTTTCCATATTAAAAAAATACTCTCAAACGTCAACTTCACATGGCTTGTAAACAAAGAATGAGTTGCCAGAATGACTAAAAACTTGGCATGTGTTCTCACGACAGATGTATCAACTTGGGAGAAAAGCCATTTGGAGCAAGGTAGTGCTATTTCTTGGCGAGCGCAGACACTTTTCAACCAACCTGTAGAGTAGGGTTTCAGTCAAGTAGTGAATAATTCTTTGTTATTTTAATAAAATGGGATATTATATTAGTTAAGGCAGCTTGAAATTTTTAAAAATATTTGTGAATTTTATTTCTTATTTTAAAAATTTATAGAATTATCGTTGTATTTATAAAACTATTTAGAAAAATTCAAGAAATTTCCGATGCATTTAGCATATATCTGTTGTTGAGATTATCGAAAAAGTAGTAACGAGTTTTTTCAACTTTTAATTAAAAGCTTTTAGATTTTTCGACAAAAAGAGCATTTTTATGGCAATAATCTTTTGTCCCAAATTGAGAAATTGTAGTCCTGAAATTTATAAAAGAGCTCTTTACTTGATTGATACTTGTTCTTAATGATTTTTGATGTCGATTTGGAAATTATAAATTTCTAAAAGGTTCGATTTTTCATGCCAGCTTGGAAATTACAAAGGTCTGAATGGTAATAGAACTTATTTTTCATAATTTTTGAGATAATTTATTTTATTAAAAAACGCGCTCTCTTTCATATGAAATCTTTTTTGTTAGTAGCTCGAGCTTTTTTTACAACAGGTAATTAATTTTTGTTACAGGTTTGTTCAGAATGTATTTTTACATACACCGTTTATTGTTACTTATTTATTTACTTGCATTTTTTCGTCCAACTGCTTTAAGTTTTTCCCCTTAAACCTGTGTTTATGGTCCATCCTTCGTTAATATTTTTATTATGCCCAAACTTTGTTTAGTTATTTATTTGTCCTTTTCTTTAAAACGGTTGCCCAATGTATAAAAAAATTAAATTAAAAATAAAAAGCCGCAGTCCTAAAAGGTGTCTCAAAATAAGCTGCACTTTTCAATCTAACCTATAAAATATTAAATTTAAAATATTTTTATATTTCTCAAATTGTGTACAAAATTTAATGTAAGTTGAATATTAAAATATTTTTAACTTTCACAATAGATGTCAATAAAAGTGCCATAACTGTTGACGGGCAAAAGAAAGTGCCGGATAAGGGACCTGTTATGCTCCTCTATGAGCTCTTCAATGATGTACACTTTGATTGCTCAACTGTAGATGGCGCTCAGAATAATTGTCGCTTTAAAATGACGGTGACAGTGAATAATAGTAAATTCGATGGCACAGGTAAGTTAATATTCAGATTTTTATTTTATTTTTTTTTTAAATTAATTAAAATGTACTCTCCCTCCTTCTCTTTCTCTTTCACTTTCTAGGTCCCTCTAAGAAGTTAGCCAAAAATGCTGCCGCCAAAGCAGCTTTGGCCTCATTGTGCAATATCTCATATAGTCCAATGATGCATCCGCAAAAGAATGTACCATTACCAATTGATGACAAGACATCATCCATGGAGTTGCCACAAATACACGCAGACACTATTGGACGCTTAGTTTTGGAGAAATTCATGGAGGTTATCAAAGGGCAGGAATCATATTCGCGTCGCAAAGTCTTGGCGGGCATTGTAATGACCGAAGATATGAACTTTAGTGAAGCCAAAGTGTGTTGATATTAATTTTAAATTTAGTTTTTTTTTTTTGCTTTACCCTAAAAACAGTAATATTGCAATATTTCCTCTTTTCGCGCAGGTTATATCCGTGTCCACTGGCACGAAGTGCGTAAGTGGTGAACACATGAGTGTCACAGGCGCTGTGCTCAATGATTCCCATGCAGAGATCGTCTCACGCCGTTGTCTAATGAAATATTTATATGCTCAATTAGAACTACAATGCAGTCAGAGTAAGTTGAAGCAGGCGAAGATCGTCTTTTATTACTACAATACTACATATTAAAAAGGCTCTCTTTCGAAGTAGTCAAAGGAGGAAAAGCATTTCTTTATGTAGAAAAAAACAGTATTTTCTATATTCTATTGCATATCTATATTTTTTTTATATATTTATAATTTTCTACAATGTACATACAAATTTTTACACTAAAATTTTTCTTTGTAAAAAAAAAATAAAAACAAAAATACTCATCTGTTGTGGTATTGTAAATATGCATACATGCAAACATATGCACTAAAATGCATTTGTAATTGTATGTATATGTACATAAATGCATAGACTCTTTACATATATAGTTATGTACAAGTATTTACTTTATATATAGTGATATGTTTTTAGATTTCCGTTTGTGATAAAGTAGTAGTGTAGTTTTTACCTTCAGTTTGCTCTGCTGCGCACATTTGCACAACTCAGCCACTTTTGTTTGAATGCGGTTTTATGCATTTCTTGTTGTATGCCACTGAACGAACCAAACTATTTAGTAACAGTAAGAAGTTTTGTAAATAGCAAACTATTGCTTTATTAAAGTACAATATTTGAGCAATGCTTTGCTTACGTATGTACATATTTTTTCTTAGCAAAAACTGCATTTTTACAAAAAGAAGAAGACAAAAAAACTTATGTTGGCATCTTGCGCAGTTACGAATTTATATTTTTTAAACTATATACATACATACATATATATCTGGCTTTCGCTACGCATAATTTAGTTTTTATTTTTCAACTGCCTGATTTTGCCTTATACTTCTTCTTCACACACTTAAACTCTCCAAAAAGTTGCATGCAAATTTAGCTAAATTAAAATTTTTGCATTTTTTTTATATAAAATTAAAATCCGGAATGCTTGCTTTCATTTGCTATAATGTAAATTTTTTCAATTCAATAAAGAACAGTAATGTTAATGAAAATAAAATAAAAAAATGAAAAAAATTAAAAAAAAACTTCCCATACCGGGAATCGAACCCGGGCCTTCTGGGTGAAAGCCAGATATCCTAGCCACTAGACCATATGGGATACTTATAGATCATACACTAAGCGCTTAGCACGTGACTCTGCTGCATATACACGAACATACATGCATATATACTCACATATGTATACTGGAATATTTTGAAAATGATTTTGGGATTTTGCTTTCATTTTTGTTTGATTTTTTTTTTGCTTGAATTACCCAAAATAGCTAATGATTCAGAAATGTCAATGAGTACATGGAATAGATACAAAATTTGTTTTTTTTACTTTCATACATAGATATTTTTATCTTTAGTTTTTATTATTAAAGGCGTGTTCAAAAGCAATATTATGATAATTGTAAATAATGGTTATTAAACATTGGGTACTTATACTACCGAAATAAAAGCTCCCTATAATACTCCATAGAAAAATACTTTAGAAGGAAGAAAATCATCAAGAAACAACACAAATTTATAATTTTTTAAATTTATTAAAAAATAATTGGATAAAAATTAGAATTTCAGCTAAAATAAAAGAGAAAAATGTAGGGATAGATAAGTAACAGGTACAATATGACTTTGGCGGATAACTGTTTAATAGAAAAGATAATTAAATTAGCCTTAAAATCTATTATTTTTCTACACAGAATATCTTTATTATTAAAAACTACCCAGACAGTCGTTTGTACTTTTATGAGCTTTTTTATTAAAAAAAAAAAAGAATCGGTTTCGGCGAAGTCTCGTATATTACATACATATGTACGCAGTCAGAGGAATATGGAAATCCATGCTTTGGAAATGTAGTTGCATTTTTCTGCGAAATTCCTTAAATCTTATAAGGTTTCGATATTTTCTAAATGAATTGTCTTTAAATCATGTTTCGCCGAATATACTGTAGTTTAAATTAATTTAATTAATTTTTTTTTTAATTAGAAATTTAAACCGCTTAGAACTTTGTGGTTAAAAAGCATACTTTCAGCATTATTATTAATTTTTTGTTTGGTAAAATTCAATCTCTTTTTTATCTTACTTTTCTGTGACAATTTTCTTCAGGGAGAGACATTTAAAACCAAAGGCCATTATATGCCCTTTAGCCTGGGAAAACATGATGTTGTTTTGGTTTTGTCCAGATTTTCGGTACCTTTTTTTAACATTTTGTTTAAGAATGTCAAAATCTTTATTCCGTTTACGAAGTGTATGCTTCCCACTCCAGATTCTGACATACTCCGCCAGAACGTGAAACTTAGTGCGAGATTTTCGTCAAACATGTCCTTTTCCATTTGAAACTGAGAGATTAATTTTAGTTGCATCTGTAAAAATAAGATAATGAGAGAATGAAATATAAAATTGAAAGAAAAAAATAAAATATAAAATAAAAATTTTTTTTGGCCAGAAATTTTCACCTGCCTTTAATAAGTCGTCGCGCAAAAGCTAATCTCAACTGTTGATTTTTCCGGGTATTTATTATTTTTACGTTAACTGCTGACAAAAGTGGGCTCTTTTCACTTTGCTCTAAACAATGCTTCTTGTGCAGGAGGGATAATTTACACCTACTCACGCAATTTCCTTTTTAATTTTCCATATTTTTATTAACTGAAGATCTTTTGCAGATGTTAATACGTACAAAAAAAATTGTTTTTGTGATTTTTTTTTGTTACAACACTGTGGAAGCCCATTTATTGAGGCCGTAGGGGCAATAAGGTATAACATTAAAAAAATATTGTGTGAAATTTCACGAAGAAATATTTAAAAATACGCCAATGGCAGCAGTTAATCGGACGTGTCTTGAAAAAAGGAAAACTGCAGTGCGGCTCATGATTTGTCTGATATCAAAAGTTCAAAAAACTTTGCTTAAAAAAGAACCGATTTTTTTTTGCGAAAAATAACGGCTTATGTGTTCTTAAAACATACAAATTATTAATAAAAATATTAATTACAAAAATCCGACAGGTATAAAAACATTCATAACTTTGTCAATTTCACCAATCGATTTGAAATTTTGACACAATATTCTCTAAATAATATGCGTTCAGTTGAAAAGAAAGTAGAAAATGCAAAAAAAAAAATTTGCGCCCTAAAAAATCTGACTTTAATTGCACATTTTCCTACTGAATTAATTTCGAACTTTACAAAATTACCGTTATATGGGCGATTGTTGTGAGCTTGGTCCGATTTCACCCATTGGCAATATCCTACGTCCTTGTGACCTAAGGAAGGTGTGAACTCAGTTTCATTAACACAATTTAAACGTTCTTTAGTTATTTTAATTTATTATTTATTTAATTTTTGAGAGGAGTGTTTTGCCCCATTTTAAATGTGAGTGACTGTATATAAAACACTTGTATAAGTTTACTTAATCATATTTTTAAACTACATGCATTTTGTTTAATAATTTGTTGGTATACCTAAGCTCTGCTAAATTTTCCCCCAATAGCAAACATAGAGAATTTTTCCTTATCGTAAAACAATATTTTATTTTTATTTTTTTTCTCTAAAAAATTTGTCAACTTTATAGATTTTCTAGACGCTTAATTTGTTTTAAAAAATAATATTTTCTTTTTTTATAAGCATAAATACTGAACAAATCTTTATTAATACTCATTTATTTCTCTAGCAACACTTTTTCTTTTCAATTTAAACTCATACTTTTTTGAATCAATTAACTGCAGATACTTAGTGCATAGAACAATAAATAAATAGTACATACTTTCTATATACTAGATAATATTTACTTATGGTTAATTATTTAATATTAGAAAAAAATTAACAATTATACTTATACTACTACTACTACTACTACTACTACAAGCAAAAAAAAAAACATGATGACATGCGTCAAACAATTAATCTCGTATTAACTAAAGTCGCATAAACAAATTTTTCTTTTTTTTCAACTTTTGATTTTTATAGCCACTGCAAATCAGTCGATTTTCGTGAGGAATCAAGACAATGGGCAATACCCGTACAAACTAAAATCCGGTGTTCATTTCCATTTGTACATCAATACAGCGCCTTGTGGTGATGCACGGATTTTTAGTCCTCACGAAAATGACACTGGTGTTGACAAACATCCAAATAGGTTGGTAAACAAAATCAAATGAAATTACAAAATTTTCTTAAAGTTTAAAACTAAAACTAGACTACTACTACTAAATAAGTATTGAACAAAAAAAAAAAACAAAAAAAAAAAAACAAACAAAAAAAATAATTATATAAAGAAACTGATTTAATTACATTTATGAAAGTAATTATACAAATAGGTGAATAATATATATATATTTTTTACATATTGTATTTATATGAAACATTTGAATTGAGTTATGCTTCCCATTTTGTTATTTGTAAGAGATTTCAAAATATATGTGTGCATACTATAAAATTATAGCAATTTATCAAACGGAATATATTCGAATATTTGAGTGAGTGCCAAAATGTTTATTTAAGTGTATTCTTTTGAAATTTGTATTTCTTAGCTTAGATCATTATAGGGCGGAGCGCTTATGCCTATCACATTGCACCTTTTAATGTATAAAGTTCAGTAGGAAAAGGATGCGTTGGCAGTTAAGCCTATTGTGATCCATTTGTTGTGTATGTTAAGTGCTGTGAGAATGTTTACTGTGGTTCGCTCATCGAGGCACAGTACATTTCCGAAAAGTGCTTTCGTATGGTGCTTGGTGCTGGAAAGTCACGGGCATAGTTTTCGGCTGACTCTTCCACACCCACGTCCCTGCAGCAGCAACTAAAATCATTTGTAACGCGTCCTATACTTTTACAGCGTTCTAGTCTTATGACTTGATCTGGGAAATTTAAATTCAGTATTCTTGGGGAAAAGATATTATCAAAACAGAGTTTAGTGCTTACGCTTGCTCACGTTTGCCATATAAATTTAGTAGAGCAAAGTTTAAAAAAACTATTCAGCGACTTTGTGAGCGCAAGAAGAGGGCTATCATTGTAAAGACAGCTGGCACCGCGGTGTTGTCGGAAAAAATATGGATTTAACTACCGATTTACATATCCAGGGGACAATTTGCTGTCTTCGGAACAATCTCTTGTCGATAGTGGCTTTATAAGCTTACAAAAGCATTTATATCTTTTCTTGTCCTTTCTGTCGTCTGCTGACTCCAGTCTTGTTTGCTAGCCAAGTACATAGCGAGATAATTCATATTAGCAGAGCTAGTCTTTTATTATTTATATATTTCAAGTTAAAGAGTACCATTTCTATTCAGGCTGAAATATATGTTTTTTTTTTGCTTTGGTAGGAATCTCTACATTCGCTTAGACTTGGCTTGGACGACTTATGACGCTTGCCCAGTCGGATGAGTTTATGGGAAAGATTCAAAATTGTTTCTACTAAAGAATAGTTGCTTAGAGCCGTTAAAGCGCAACAATAACAACAAGTGGGTTTTGAACTACACTAGGTATACCGGCAGTATTTGATATCAGTAACGTAAAACTGTTGTTCTGAAGTTAATCTCTACAATTCGCGCCTCCACTAATAACAAAGAGCTTATTTTTCTGCTAACTAACGGTTTTTTTATTGACATTTATTGGTTCTGCTACGACAGCGGAGGTAGGCATAGGTTGCTGGTGTGACGTTGCTCTTTAGAAGGCTGCTTTGTATCTTCTCTTCAGGCGGGTTTGGCTTTATGCATAGACTAAGGTGCTAGCCAGAGAGTTGAGATGGTTACGCAGTTTTGTTAAGTATTTTTGTGCTGCGATTTCATCTCTTCTTTAATGGTGGGTACATTGGAAGCTTTCAAATATGTCTATATTCCATATCGAATTTATGATTGCATTATATGGGAAGACTCTGTTGTTAAGCCTAATTCCAGATCTTTGTTTAGAAGCCAATGTAAACTAGCCGATTTGAGTTTGAGATGCAGCTTTTTGGTGGAAATGTGTCGTCTCCAGATTAAACGACTGTCCAAGTGGATTCTGAAGTATGTAATTTCGACAGTTTGTGGAATGGGCAATTTGTTGAGCTTGACAGTGGGGCATGTTTTTGGCTTAAAGTTGTTAAAGTCGCCATTAGACTCTCCTCCGTTACGTACTCATTTACTTCTTATTCAATCGCGGCATGTTCTTCGCGAAATCCAAATTTGATGCGTAGAAAGTAGATGTATCATCTGTAGTAGTGTTTGGTAGAAATACCGTACTGAGGTACTGTGCAATTCAATATTTTCTGGCGGTTTGTATTTTTGCAAGCCTTCCAAACCGAGTCCTTAGTAGGAGCATTAGGAGACAAAGGCGATACAAGATTTTTCGTCGCATTTTCTTCATTCTGTCTTAGAGCCACTTTTAGCGTTTTTTTCTGCCAGCTTAAATCGGATTTTGCATTGAGCGATCGGTAGGCTTGCAATTCCCAACCCAAACGCAATTCGATCTCGCTATTAGTTATAGCTGTGTTGAATGCAAGTTCCTCGTTATCTAGGCCATGTTTATTATTCAGTTCCCGATCGGTCTGTATATTTTATCTGACTTAAGAACAGTCATTTCCAAAGCTCGCAATCTTATAGATTTTTTCGGTACCTTATGATTTGCCTCTAACGAAGACCGTTAAGTTCTACAACAAAATAGAGGGAGGAAAATTAAATATCTTAGCATAGGCACTCACTCAAAAACTCCTCAAAATTCTATAACAAGTGCAAAAAGTGCTAAATCACTGCGATTTAACATTTTTTCTACACAATTCAAATTCACATAAATTTTATATATTCATATACTACATAGAGGAAGAAGCGCAGTAATTTGTTTGCATTTCAAATCGTGTGAATTTTATGCGAAAATAAAAATATAAATATTAAAATTAAGGTTAAATTATATTAAATTTAATTTACTTTCTAAAAACTAAAACTGAAACAAAAACAAAATGTAAAGTCGATAAATGAATTTCTTCTTCTCTTTTTTCTCTCAAATTTCTTTTTTCCAATAATTTCACTTATTTTTTTTTTTTACGTATATCTTTTCTTTGAAAACTTTGTTCTTTTGTTATAATTTTGTAATTCGCTTTCGTTGCATTGTTGGTGATGTGTGCCATGCTGCTGTAAACTACTGCGTCTGCGTCTGAAATTGTAATATATAAAAATAAAAAACAAAATGCAATTACTAATGAATATATGCAAATTTATTTATATATATATACATATACATATATATATGTACATATATGTGTGTATATAAAATTGCAAATTACAATTGAAAATGAAAATGAAAATGAATCATTTTGCTGAACGCCTGCACCTGCATTCTGTTCGGCTGCTTCATCTTGCTTCATCCTTGTCCACCGTGTATGTATGCTGCTGGTACTGCTCAATCCGCTTTGCGTTGCGCAAATCGCAGAAAGGCGCGTGGTCAATTGCGTACTAAAATCGAGTCGGGTGAAGGTACAATACCGGTGAAAAGCAAAGAGGGTCTACAAACTTGGGATGGTGTGCTACAGGTGAGACCTCACAATATATAATATATATCATATATATATGTATTTATATTTTTAATTTAATCTCTTTTCAAATAAACCCTGTCTCTCTTTTTTTTCACAGGGCGAGCGCCTATTGACAATGTCCTGCTCGGATAAGATTGCTCGTTGGAATATCGTTGGTATACAAGGCTCATTATTGGCCTCTATTATCGAACCGATTTACTTGCATTCCATTGTATTGGGCAGTTTATTGCATCCTGAGCATATGTATCGTGCTGTTTGCGGTCGAATAGAGAAATCCATACAAGGTCTTCCACCACCTTATCATTTGAATAAGCCTCGCTTAGCGTTGGTCACCTCGGCTGAGCCGCGTAATCAAGCTAAGGCACCGAATTTCGGCATCAATTGGACGATTGGTGATAGTGAAGTTGAGGTGGTGAATTCACTTACCGGTAAAACGGTAAATAATCAAATATCACGCATCACCAAGCAAATGTACTTCATGAAGTATGGTTATCTAATGAAAAATTTGCCTGGCATACCAAATCGTAAGCTGACAATCGATTATGGGCAAGCAAAGGAGAGGGTAAAGGACTACCAGGTGAGTTTGACGAGTGTGGAGTATCTATTCACAGAAAGTTAAAATAAGTGCTAATTAAATTCTCATATTCGCAGAAAATGTTATCCTTACATGATTTATGCACATCCAAAAAGTTGTAGAAAATTGAATTCAGTTTACCCATAGTCAGAGATCGCAAACCGCCCGAGTGATTTTTTGAGGGGAATTGAAAATTAAAGAAGAAGCTCAGCGCAAAATCGTTTTAGCCATTATTAAGAGGCTTGCGTAAATATATGTAAACACAGCTAACATGAAAAAATTGGTTAATATTGTTGCTCTCAAGGACTATTCAAATCCTTCAACCCTTATTTAAGCGATGTGACTGATAGCTACATTATTTTCTGCTCAGAAAAGTGGCTGTATTAGTCTAAGATATCGATATCAACTGACGCGAGATGTTGGAAATGAGTTTCGTAAAGTTCGGATCAAAGGGAGATTGAATTAATTAAAAAAAAAAAAAACATGCAGAGAAGTGTTTACTATCGTGCGGGGTAGACTTTTTGCATGCTGGACATATGTTGCCGCAGTGAAACTTGCTCCCGTATTACCCAGGTCTTACGGGGCAACTCGAGATCTTCGTCTGCAACTGCGAATGGACGGGTACCAAAAATGTCATTCACGAGATGGGAGTTGAGTAAAAAGATGATTGATCTTTACAAAATGCTATCAACGCCTTTCGGTAACACGTCGTGGTGCAACGTTTCTGTTAAGTTTCTCTGTATTGAGTCTGTGTATTCATGCACTGCTTTGTACTGTATATCTGTGATGCGGCGCTGTTTCAAACAGTTATATACAACAGATACTGCTTGTCAATCATTATGAAGAATTTGTTACTTCCTTAACTCTGTTACGCTGGGATTCAGCTTCCAAATTGGGGCAACATAATTTGTGATCAGCCCGCCGATTGCCTGTTATGTTTTTTCTTCTTACACCAGGTTTTACCCACCACCGGCTTGAAGATTTTTATACGGTTGTGTATTCCTGTGATAATCGTAGACATACAAGTGCAGGGTGGTGCAGCTTTTTCACGCCATTGACTGTGAAATTTAGTTCCAGTTGGAACTTTTTCGCTCGCTAGTAAAAGGGGAGCCACCATTCATTGTCTGCCAGTTAAGTAGTACGAAAGGTCGTAAAGATAACATTTGGCTTTCGATTCGAATTTTATCAAAATTCTGGCCAGATTCAGCAATCATAGGTATGCAGTTTAGGGAGTCTTCCTCGGGTGTGGAGATGTTGAGACAATGGTAAGGAGAATATATCACCCTGCGAACTCACTTGCTTAATATTACCGAGTTTAGATGTTTGAATTCGGAAGTTCTACCGATTATTGTCGATCCCTTAGATAATTCGAGTGGTTAATTCTATCTAAAGCATCCTGAATGCCTAACCAACGGTCTAAGAGGTCAACTTCCTTCTCCTCCTATATTTTATGCTACTTAATGCTTGGCAACCGCGGTAGCCGAGTAGTTAGCCTTGAGTACTGCCTTGCATAAGGCTCAGGAACAAATCCCGGTGCAGTACGAACATCCAAAAGGTTATAGAAAATTAATTTTAAAAAAAATAAAAAATTATGTTAAATTTTATAATTGCGGCCGCTCCTTGGTAGGGCATGTCAACCCCTCCGAGTGTATTTCTGATATGAAATAAAGGCTCATCATAAAAACCATCAGCCATTTGGAGGCAGCTTAGTATAGACTGCAGGTTCCTCCATTAGTTGGAAAATCATCAAGACGCAAAACCGCAAATTGAAGGAGAAGCGCGGCCTAAACATTTATTATGCTATAAATTAATGTTTTTCAAATGAAATTTTTCTTTTTAAGATTAATAAATAACTTTATGAGCTTTTTATACAAAGAAATATTAATTAATTTATTTGCTTCGTTTCCAGATTGCCAAGAAGGAGTTATTTGCGGCATTCCGCCGCGAGGACTTGGGCAGCTGGCTGAAGAAACCAATGGAACAAGATCAATTTGCGCTTCCGGAATGACTCCCTTGTCAACGTTTTGTTGTAAGTTCGTTTGACCAAAATGCGAAATGTGTAAATTTCGTACAATTTATATGCGTAACGGTGTCGCTAATCTATAAATTCATAAAGTTATGCGTTTTTAACGAGAAGATAAAGAAAAGTGAAACACTCGGAGAGTTAGAGTTTAATCAAATAAATTATGTTGATGATGATGATGATGGTATGGATGATGATGAAGATTGTGTTGATGGTAACAAACAATTGAAATGCTATAGAAAACAAAATAAAACACCATATAACAATTCATATGCTAAAGAGCAAAATGAAAAGATACAAATAAAAATGTTAACATTTCAAAATTCAAAAATTAGCATTGAAGCGAAATGTGAGTGGAAGGAGGAAGAGGAGGAGATTATTGGTGAACAACATAGTGCGGAAAAAATCGAATTGGTGCATAAAGCGTTTATAAAAGAACGAATATTAAATTTAATTAAATTTGTTGCTAATATCAAGCTTAATAATATGAATAATTGCTCTAGAATATTTCTAGAATAGAATGTAGCTAATATGCTGGAACTAAGTAAAGCAAGTATTATGGCGTTTTAGTCTGAATCAAAAAATACAATACACTACAATACAAATAAACGAATATATATATATATAAACCATAACCATACATACATACATACGTACATACATACATACATACATATATGCATATATGCAAACATACATACGTATACGATACATACAAGCGTGCACACCATACGTTCATACGTGAAATAAAATAAGATAATATGAATACATATTTGAAAAAAATATATATATATGTATATACAAACATACATATGTATATACAATAGCAACCGTTAATACACTCAACAGCGACTTATTTATTGTTTTTTATTTCAAAAAATCAGCAAAAAAAAATCGGTTAAACAAAAATAAAGTGATTTTCTAATATTATCGCTAGCTACAGCGGTTATTCTATTGGAGTATTATGTTACAAATTTTCGAGTTTATATTTTAATTTTGATTACTCATGCATTAAAAGAACTAATTTTTATACCAAAATTTTAGCATGAAAAATTTCAGATTTTTCTTGTAATTATATTGTTTTATCCTATTTTGTTTCATTAAATAAAATGGCTGCCTTTTTTATTAAAATTTCTTTTATATTTTTCTTTTCTCAATCATTTTTACTTACAGATTATTTGTTTTTGTAATTGTTTTACTGCATGTCTGTAAGGAGGATTACGGTGTTATGGAAATAAAACTAACTATGCATAACAGTATTAGGACCAGTAAAGAAGAAAATTAATGGCAATGTTATTGCTCTTATATGAAAGAAAGAAAAGAAATATGTATGCCTATACTATAATGAAGTGCTTAAGAATCTCTTTTGAAACATAAAGTAAGTTTGATATTTGCTGTATTTTTGTGGCATTTTATTTATTATTTATTATTTAATTTGTTTTTTTTTATATATATTTAATTGACTGTATAACACTTTAAATTTATTTTTTTCCTTAAATGTATTGCAATTTTTCTCTACAGATTGTTAATTTAACTAAAATATTAAATTATATTATACATATTTATATTGCGTTTAAGGAAATGTGTAAACGATTTTGAGATTTTGATAGAATAAAAACTAAAACTAATTTGAGCAAAACATTATTTTGTTTACTTTTTTTTTGTTTTTTTTATATAACACGTAAAAAATTTGAAAATGTTACAGTTAATGCAGTTAACAAAATAATTTTGGTTTCGTTTTTACTCGAAACGAAATGCAGTCGTTAATGTTAAATCGGTAACAGATAATGTTAAACGTTACAATTGAATTGTGCTGTTAATATTATATTAACATTAACGAAGATTTTGAGGTTTCAATATTAACAGCTCCATTTAGTTTCGATAATATAGTGCCGAGGGGAAACAATATTTATTCATTCATTTTAAGTTTAAATAAACTTGTCAAAATGATATATATATATATATATATTTATATACTTTTTTATTTTATTTATATTTTATTTTATTTTATTAATATGAAAAATAAGCTTTAAAATAAAATATATATATAAATAATTTATGCCATTTTAGACTATATAATTGTCGGATATTTTTGTTTCAACAAAAGGTATATTTAAAGGTTATAATTAAAAGCACAGAATGTGTTTTAGCTCGTTATACATTCGAAAGTATATATTGTTTGAACTTTTTGTTTATTTTAAAACTCATTCGAAATAAGCTCCTTTATCAAAATTTTTTAGTCTTTGTTATTTTTTTTTTTTTTTGACTATATTCGATTTTTATTAAATTTTTTAAATATTTTTTTAAATATTTTTTTTAAATATTTTTTTGACTATAATAGATTTTGATTAAATTTTCTAAATCCCTTTTTTTAATATTTTTTTGATTTTTTTGATTTTTATTAAATTTTTTAAATCTTTTTTTAATGTTTTATTGACTATATCAGATTTTTTCTCTCAAACAATTCACGAAACACGTACACGCACATATATTCTATATGAAAACACACACATATATACATACATACATATAAATAAATAAATAATAGAGCAAAAAAAAAGAAGAAATTATATGAATTCGATCTTATAATAAAATACTGTGATACTAAATTTTACTAGTACTTCCAGCATAGCTGCATTTTATCCATTCTAAAATATTCTAAAGGCTTACATTATGGTAAATAATTATGACACACATGCATGCATGCATCGACGCATTATTGGCGCATATATGAAACATTTAAATAATAATAAATGCATAGAAACCAAATTAAAATTAAAAAAGCAAAAAACGAAAAACAAAAAACCAAAAACAAAAATAAAAAGTAGTAAGCAAACAGAATACGTGTAAGAGCGATACAATGTATTGTCTAACGAACGGATAGATGATGAATTAATTAGTCATGCAAATTGCAACATTGTCACACCAAACGTGACGTGAGACGTGACTTAGCGTAGCGTAACGTGTATTGTAACGTAATGATGACGATTTAGTAGCAGCGATTAAGAAATTGTTGAAATAGGTGAACAAAAAGTAATAGAAAAAAAAGGAAATAAAAAAAATACATTTAATAATATTATGACTATAACTTAGGCAACAACTCAACCCTTCCACTTAACAAAAAAAAAAAAAAAAAAAAAAAAAAAAAAAAAAAAAAAAAAAAATTAAATCAAAAATGGGATTTATTAATTTAAATGTCAGCAAGCAAATACAGACATACATACGTATATAATCTCTAAGAAATAAGTCAGAATTATTAAAAATCTGTATACCCAAATAAAAAAAAAACGAAAACGCGATTTTACGAAAGAATTAGCGCATTGTTGGCGAGAGTATTTCAATAACAACATAAATACATACATACATACATAAATACTAATTTTCATTCATATAAACGGCGCAAATGGCAGTTCACAAATAGTAAGAAGAAATATTTTTAGCTAAATTAAAACACACAAATACTCACTTACAATATACACACACACACACAATATACTTGCCAAAATATGAATGAAACTATGAGAATATGTTAAATGAAATATGTAGAGATTAAAAACAATTGTAAACAGCTTTTAGAAACTTTTAATACAATATTTACCAACAACAATTACTTTGGAAATTTATCTAAAAGCCAATTATAATGAAAGTGAGTAACACACATACAAATATAATCAATAGCAAATTCTTTAGAATGTTCTTAACTTAAAATTACAAATAAATAAATAAAACTGAAATATTTATATATTTATATATATATTTATATATATATATACATATGTGTATATTAAATTTCGATTTTTCACAAGTAAATTATGTTTGTTAAATTTTAAATTTAAATACTCGCATCACTTGAATGCATGACTATCGGTCTCCCGGTCTTATGGCTGAGATCAAAGTGTATAAGAACAGCAAAATCAAATAATTATTTACAACTAACGAAGCCTAAAAATTGTAGCAAAAAGCAAAACTCGTAAATAAGTATTTTGCGATTGGTACTGAGAGCTTGATTTCGAAAAATTCTGAAAAAAAACACATGAACCAACTTATAATTGAAACAGCTGACCAAAATGATGGTTGTCTTGTCTTTCATTTATTTACCAATTTATTTCAAAGAATGTGTAAAAAGAAATTAAATTTAATTATAAATATACAAAAACAACTTAATTTTTGGTTAATTCGCAAAATTCATATATTTCAGTTGGCCAAAGTATTGTATGTGTCCAACAAAAAAGTTATTAATATGGCATTCTGCAGGTTTTGGCCCGTATTTTGGTTGAATGCGTTAGAAATTATTTATGATCCGTCGTTATACTTGTTAACGGTATCAATTTCCGACAAGTTTTAACAGCAATGTCATACCAAACTTTCTGAATATTTTCCCTTTCAAGCTATGCCCAGTGGTTCTCGATAGTATTAGGCGCTGGGGATTGACTCTTAGAACCATAATTTCACATAACGTGTGGATGCTTAAGAGAGTTGTCCTGCTGAAATTTCAGTCTGAGCATAGCTCGTATACAGTTTTCCAATCCAGTTTATTTACAGTTTTTTTTTCAATTGAAATTCGATTTTTCCACGATTAATCTCTTTGAAAATAAATATATATTTATGATTCGATTGGATTCTAAGACGATTTACGTACCTAAAAGGAATACTTTTGTTTGAATACTTTTGTTTAAGAAAATAGGCTAGTCAACGGGAAAGGTATCGCCGGCGGATTGACAAAAATTAGTATGATTTAGATATGAGCATCGGTCGTGTGTAGGTCTGTGTTAACAGTTGGATCTATTTAGCGCCTATTTCGCTTCATTTCTTATTAATATTTCAATCTATTCCACATTCTTCTATGAAAAAATATTCCCCTCCTCAATTATGCCAGCGAGGATGGGACTACACTGCGAGAAAAATATGTTCGCAATCCTGGCGCAGTGCGACTGTGGGTTACAAGCTTTCCTCTTATGTTTCACTTTATTATACTTGTTCACAGCATAGATCCAAATGAAGCGTTTGGCTTACCTGGAAGCATTTGTGTTGGTGTTTGGAGGAGGGCCTTTTGAGTAGCGAATGATCAACACTTTAATATAATAAAAAATAATAATATTTTACTCTTTATATTGTGACTCTTTCTAGTATTTGCTGTGCTCTCGATTTACAAATTTGGCAAATATTCTTCCTTATTCCCTAATACCTACCTAAAACTAATCAAACCGCCCAAAGATAGTTTCGGAATCACGCAATTTAAACGTGAGAACTTGAATTCTGTTGAAAGTTTTGGCTTCTCGATAAGTTTTCAAATTCGATCACAGATGCCCAAGTTTCCTTTTTGATAGCATAATTTGCTAAATTATATATGGGATCAGACACCCGATACTTCATCATCAACAGTAATTGATTCGAATTCAGTCAACAGTCAGCGAGATGGTCGGAGAGATAACGTCGAGTTGATTACTCTAGAGTCTAGACACACAGCTGCAGTGTTGGCAGGTTTTTGGGGCACCTTTATGACCAGCAAACGAACTATGGCTTGTCCGAACTTCCATTTGTAGCCAATTCCTCGACTCACTCCTCAAAGTCCGACAAACCGGCATAAGGTCAATGAGTGGGCCATTGACAACCAGAAGACAGGGTTAAAAATAGTCTGGACGCCTTCTATTTTCTAGTAATTATTATAATAATTATTTTTCGAGTTTAACTAAAACACTCAAACAATTGTTAAATAATATTATTGTGAACGAATAAAGTGTTTCTGCTTCAAGAACGGGTTCTCTATCTCAGCGGTCGCTCCATTTCCACTGTTGGCGTGAAGTTCTTATCGAGCTTCCAGAGTGAATTTATTAAGAAGAACTCCGTGTCAAAGCGGTAATATTTGTTTTGTTAAGCGCGCCTCTTTTGCAGATTTTGAGAAAGGGCCTCGATAAGTCTGCCAATTCACAAGCAGCTAATGTTTTGCAAGATTTTTTCAGCAATTTTTTTCAAAGGGACGGAAACTATTGCGCTAAAGAACAGTTTCGGATAGTAATTAAGCTTCAAATACAAATTTTTTAGTATCAAAAAATATTGGAAATTTCTAATGTTTGACGAGTTTTCTGAAGCGGCCGGTGATGGAACGAACTAGAAAAAATACCAAAGAAGTTGGAAAATTCCAATTTTTTCGAAGTTTGTAAAAAAGATACACTTTTTTGGAAAAAAAAAACACTTCAGGTGGCAGTTTCATTAGTTTAAATTTTTCCAACTTTTTTAGTTCGAATAGAAAATATTTTATTACTCTAGCTAGATAACTTAAATTTTTTCTGACGGACACATATTGGTGTTGGTTGTGCGCGAGCAATCGAACCAGCTCGACGTTCGGCCAATGTTTTATTGCTCTAGCTTCTAAAATATGGCGAGTTGGCCACTAAAATTTTGAGGACATATTCTTAAATAGTTTTAGAATAGATTTGGCATTGATGGTGAAAAGTAGCTTGAGTCGAAATTTTTCAGATGCAATCTTTGCACTAAAACTATTTTTGAACTCTTAACTACGGAAGAGACTCAGAGGTGGCAGGGTAGTGAGTGTATTTCTACTTCTTTTCGAACCACTTTCTGTGTGGACCATTTGGCTAATGACGCAAGTCAAGCAAGTCGAAAATAAGAATTGTGAGATT